AAACTTCTCTAGCTTAATCGATTGTGTAGTGACCTACCATCACGCAAGCCGGGTTTACTTATCTGTAGACCTTATCTATAACTATGTGTGAAACTCTGACTAGGAAGAGGATGGGTAACACAAAATTACATTTTAACGTATATTATAAAGTTTGTTACAAAACAATGGATCAATAGGTGAAACTTCCATCAAAATATCACAAAAATTTTAGTATTTTTCTGCTCATACATCAGAAGTACAAACGCTACATTAATAAAGCTTGCGGTAAATTATCGTTAACAAAACTCTATCAATATGATTCAAATGCTCCGTAAAACAAGATTATTTGATATGTTTGTTTGGTAATGGTATTCTATCCATACGAATTCAGAGAAGGAAAAAACAAAACAATGCACTATGTCAATGCCTTTAAAGCTTTGAAGTAAAGTAATAATAATAATAAAATAAATGAATACATAAACTTATTATTCCACAAACCTAACTTAAATTTCTTTTATGGATTAATTTTCTTTTTAACACTAAAAACGGTTGTTTCAAGGGAGTCGTAAAAGATTACCTTACATTTTTTGGAAAGAAAAAAGTTATTAAACCGCAAATATCTTAACTCAGGGTTAGTAACTTCAGTAACGCAGCTTCGAGAGGGTATGTAAAACTATTTTATTTCCTATGACGTTTTACAACTTACCAACGACAAATGTTCTATGTGTTACGTTTGAAATGTTAGTACGAAAAAAACGATTCATTTCCTAAACTTTTATGACTGTTACAGCGATCATTGCTGATATGTTTATAACGAAAAATAGGTAACAATAAATGTGATCAGTTTTTTAAATTAAAACCATCGTTTTCTCTTTGACTTGACTCACATTATAAATGAACTAGGTGACTTGACTCACATTATAAATGAACTAGGTGACTTGACTCACATTATAAATGAACTAGGTGACTTGGCTCACATGATAAATGAACTAGGTGACTTGACTCACATTATAAATGAACAAGGTGACTTGACTCACATTATAAATGAACTAGGTGACTTGACTCACATTATAAATGAACTAGGTGACTTGACTCACATTATAAATGAATTAGGTGACTTGACTCACATTATAAATGAACTAGGTGACTTGACTCACATTATAAATGAACTAGGTGACTTGGCTCACATTATAAATGAACTAGGTGACTTGACTCACATTATAAATGAACTGGGTATAACCCAATAATCTATCAAAAAATTACAGTAACCTAAATTAATGTACTAAATGAAAAGTCAGTTTGACATATTTATTCAAAGATTGAATAAGTTTGTTTGGGTAGTTAATGGTTCTTAGCCTCTTAAGCCGACCGTTATGTGGATCCTACATCCAAGATCTTTATTCTACTGAAATATTTTTGACCATTCCCAATTATAGTTTGTACCCTATATTTATCTGTTATTTATATGCAAATTATTTTCTTTAAATTATAATTATCCATTTTTAGAAGTTAATGTGAAAGAAAAGGTGTTTTCACAAGTTAATGTGAAAGAAAAGGTGTTTCCACAAGTTAATGTGAAAGAAAAGGTGTTTCCACAAGTTAATGTGAAAGAAAAGGTGTTTCCACAAGTTAATGTGAAAGAAAAGGTGTTTTCACAAGTTAATGTGAAAGAAAAGGTGTTTCCACAAGTTAATGTGAAAGAAAAGGTGTTTCCACTGTTGAGAGAATCCTACATCATTATTTTCCTTTTTTTCACTGTTATTACTTTTCCCATTCCGACAGTGTAGCTAGCTTTACCAGGTTGTCTTTTACGAGGGACATATTTTTTGGCTACTTGTTTCTAGCACATTTTTGTTTAAAATATAAAAAGTGCTGATTTCTAGTGAATCACTGTAATCTCGACGTAAGAAAATGAATTTAAAATACAAGGTTTTTAGATTTGTTTTTCTTAGTTACACTTGTATTAACTTTTCCAGTTGCTTAGCAGCCAACGTTAAAAACAAACGGTGTCCGTGGAACCTTATAAGCCACCCGTGGCATTCAACTTGTTCATAGTGAAGTTAAGCAAGGTTTCTGGTTAATTTTTCAAACGCTTATAATATACTTAAGAACATATAATTACACAGTCATGCACACATAAATAAGTAAACAGAGAGATAGCTTTCGTTAATCGTTTATAGCCGGTCACAGATAACACACAGTCTATATATATATGTATACAATTATACACATATGTATATTAAATACATAAAGATGTATCACTGAAACTGACTTCAGACAGAAATAAATAACATTTTAAGTATTTCAATATCATTTTGTGCTCCAGTTTTTCTTAAAACATAAAGTTTTAATATATCATCTCACAAAACATACTGTACCATGAAGTGTGTATACATGCATACACACGAGAATTGATCGTTCACTTCCAGAAGGAAGCCATTTTTAATGAACTTCTTTTCTTTGACATCAACAATACTCTCGTCTATTACTCACACGAGAGGGAAACCAAGAACTATGATTTTCTTCTAGCTTACGTTACAGAAGTGGTATTTGTCTGCACTCGCTTACAGCACTGTCTGCCAAATAGTGTGTCAATTGTCAGCGAGCTACATACCTAATGATAGCTTTCACGAAAGACGGTTATTCCTAGCAACCGAGTTAGCTACGGAAGCTACTAGTATAAACATATACGTTCTGCAAACTTAGAGGTCTTCATTATGACCGGTTAACCACAAACGTCCCCTCTCGACGTTTATTTCGCCGTTCACTGGCACTGACGACTTGCAAGGCGCCATGCTATTGACAAAGCAATTTACCACAGTTTTCTCTCAGCAAGCTGTCTATTATCCTTCATCTCAGCTTGATAAATTGTTCTTCTTATGAAGCTGACGGTCGAGTTTAGGTTTTAAATCCCTCTGTACGGAGATGGTAGGGTTCACCTCTTCAAGGTATTTATCACTCGCCCATTTCGCCGAGAAACGAGATTAAAAGAGGAGAGATATTCCTTGCCTCTCAAGTTTCACTTCGTGAATGAAAACGACTTATTTCCACGAAACTTTCAGACTTGATTATTGCGAATCTATACGCGTGTGTATGTAATTTCAGAAGAAAAAAAGGACACGGATATAAAAATAACACTTAATCAGTAGCGCTATACTTAAGATTCTATGTGTTCATGGAGCAAGAAGACAGACTAACAGATAAGTCTAAATATTTAACATTTTGAAAGAGCTTATACCGTACTTTGATATTTTCATTTTCCAATTGTCCACCAGAGGGTCAGCGGTAAGTTTCTGAACTTACGACGCTAAAATCCGGGTTTCGATTGTCCGTGGTAGACGGAATAGCAGTTAATAATTTGTGTCGCTTTCCGCTACAAAATTAAGATAAACCCTTTCCATTTGTCTATTTTTTTCAATCGTCTTTTTTTAATAGTAAAATATTCTATGAATACGTTTTGACATGAAATAAAACCTCTAATACAATTTTGATAATTTGTTTTCTATACAAATATAAAAATTAAATTAATACATTAATTATGGAATTAACTTTATCATAAACTTAGTTAATCCACCATTCTCATGTCATGACATAATATATTTTATTTTACAGTGAAATGTTGAAAAAATGGTGTGCTTGGTTTGCTTTGAATTTAGCGCAAAACTACACGAGGGCTATCTGCGCTAGCAGTCCCTAACCTAGCATTGATAGACTAGAAGGAAGACAACTAGTCAACACCGCCCATCGCCAACTCTTGGGCTACTCTTTTATCAACGAATAGTGAGTTTGACCGTCACATTATATCGCCCCAACGGCTGAAAGGGCGAGCATGTTTGGTGTGACGGGGGTTCCAACCCGTGACCCGCAAATTGCGGGTCGAGCGCCCTAACCATGAGGCCATGCCAGGCCAGATGGCGTGCTTCAAAGTAAATATTAGAAGCTTACGATAGAAATAATTGAAATTGACCAACTAGACAAAACACATTACTTGCTTTAATAGAAATTTTATAAACAGATCATTTTCATTAGAAGTGTTCCAGTTTGCCTAATTCACTTCAGCAAAAATTTGGAAAATTGACCTATTTTAATGGAAGTTCTCGGAAGTCAAAACACGTGATAAGAGATGATCCGGTTCGAACAACTAGAAGTTGACCCACTTGAAGAGACGTGTTGAAAGCAACTTATATTAATGAAAACGTCATTAATTTACAGTCTCCATCATATTGAATATGCCTGCCATTACTCAGCCCTATAGAAATTAATTCACGACGTAATTTGTCCCATTATAAAAAAAAAAGGAACCAAAATAGCGTTATCTCTCATTCGAACATGTAATCTGATAAAATCAGGGGGAGCACGTTATCATTACTACATAATTACAGAAGTGATTTTTTATAGTTTACAGAACCGTGCCCAAAGTCAACGATCGGCTTTCATTTATCATTGGAATACCGACATATAAAAAGAGAGAATTGCTTGGTTATTAAACTTGAAAAAGAGAAAGAGATAGAGAAAAAAAAAAGACTGTTTAGCTACAAGCAAACTGTAAATAAACTTTCTGACACCACACAGTCGCAGCAAGTAGTAAACTGATAACGTAATCGTGGTTTCTATCGTTGGTTGTTAGGTGTGCCTTAATGACGAGCCAAACCCTTCTAAGGTCTTCGTTAATGCCATGTTACCTCTATATAATTACGATGTAGTGCAAGTTAAACAGGTACATTAAAATCGACAGAATGTAAGTAGCCTATAGCAGAAGTATTTATATTGGTTGAGCCTAATAGTTACGTCTAACAACCGCCAGCCATGGATAGAATAATGATAAGTCTATAAAATAGGTAGCTGGTTGTTGTTGTTTTTTTTTCTTTAAAAAAGAAGGAGAAAAAACGCATAAACATGTTTTGTTTTTTTTAGTGACAGAACAACCAGCATATTATACGACGCAGTCAAAAATACGAAGGAGGTTCAAGTCGTGCACTTTTACAAGAAATTATTGGTTAGTTGTGTCACTGATTACGTACCTGCGGGGGCGCCTGGCATCCTTCGAGGAAACTCTAAGGTCCACTGCTCGGCAGCCTTTCGTCTTAAGTGTTCCCACTCCCGAAGTGGGTCGAGGAATGGAGGACGTTGGCCAAACGCTGTCGCGAAGGCCCGAAGCTGTTGCTGTTGTCCTGGAATCAAATTAAATTTCTATTATCAACTCGATCTCACCAATTCAAAGATAAAAAAAAAAAAGAAATTTGGGTATGTTTGGTTTGTTTTTGGAGTTAAGCACAAAGCTACACAATGAGCTATCTGTGCTCTGCCCACCACGGGTATCTAAACTCGGTTTCTAACGTTGTAAGTCCTCAGACATACCGCTGTGTCACTGGGGGGGGGGCGGTTTTGGGAATGGCCAAATTTCAGAGGAATTAA